AATTGACACTTTTATTTTTGATGGCAGTAATCACCTGAGGCTCTTGTCCTGAGCTGCCAATGCTATGGAAGCCTCTTGAGTCCACAAACTCTGACCTTATTTAGACAAGGCTACAATCAAAGTGGAAGTTCTCTCCTCCCTTCAGAGAAAGGTACCTCTTTCTTTGATGGCCTATTCTTTCCAATGGGATCTCACTCACAGAGATCTTTCATGTAGGTCATTTTTTTTTTTTTTTTTGCCACAGTGTCTTGGCTTTCTATGCTTGAGATACTCTCATAGGCTTTTTAGCCAGATCCAAATATCTTAAGGGCTGATTCTGAGGCCAGAGTGCTGTTTAGGGCAGTTTTCATTCTGAGTCTGCTGTGTATCCCACTTCCCATGTTGGATCATTGCCTCCTTTTTAATTCTATCAATTATTATTAGCAGACACTGGTCTTATTTATGTGACCCCTTTGACACTTAATCCTATCTTTATGATAATTATGAACTTAAACTGATCACTTTAACTAGTAAGGTGGCATTAGTACCGGCCAACTTAATGGGAATTGGAGTTCTATGGCAAGTTTTTAGCTCTACCCTTAGGGGTAAGTCTGAGGGAGCATGTGCCAAACTATACATCTCCCTCTCTTATTTCCATTCTTATTTTTAACAGGGATCAATTTTCAGTTGGGTTTAAACACCTAAGAATAATTTTGTGTTAATTAAAGAGTTCAACCAATGGTATTAAGTAGAAAATACTAAAAAGAATAAAATAGTAAGCTATTCCTCAATAGTCAGGACAAGGAGTGATCAAGTCATTGCTTCTCATAGTATCAGTTTCACTTCTACAGGTTTCCTTTAAGGTGCTCAGCTAGTTGTCACAGATCAAGGAGAACATATGATAATTGTCTCTTTTGGACTGGCTTATTTTACTCAGCATGATGTTTTCCAGGTTCCTCCATTTTGTTGCAAATGACTGGATTTCATTTTTTTTTTTTTTACCTCTGTGAAGTATTCTATGGAGTACATATCCCATAATTTATTTACCCAGTCTTCTGTTGATGTGCATTTAGGTTGATTTCATGCCTTAGCTATTGTGAATTGAGATGCAATAAACATTGAGGTGCAGATAGCTCTTTTATTTGTCATTTTAATTTCCCTTGGGTAAATTCCCAGGAGTGGAATGGCTGGATCATGTGGTAGGGCTGTTTCTCAACTATATGTTGTATGTGACACTTTTGTTCAATAATTGATGACCCTAGAAAAATGAGATATTATATAAAAAATTCTCCTTGATGATATTGTATACTTACATATTTAGAATATATTCTGTAGTTTTCCTGAAGAAACAGATTGACAAAATCTACAGATCTCAGATCTGCTCACACGGTGCTGGGGAAAATTTTTCTTTTCTTTGGACAGTGAAACAGATTCCAATGAGGTCACATTCCCTGTCTCCTCCTTGTTTAACTTCACATCACCAAGAAAGATATAATTATTATCTGAGGGATTTTGACCAAGATTTTTACAAAAACATGAGATGGGTTTTGTAATTGTCTATATACAAAGCCACCTGGAGGCATATCTTTGCTCCTAACAATTTAAGTAAATTTTAAAATGTTTATCTTGTGTAGATTTCATTGTTAGCAACAACTTGTATTTGAAGTTGCAGTTATTTAGAGATAAAAATAATCTAATAAAAAAACCCTAACATTGATTTGATTATAGGTTTCTGGAAACCAATATAATTATGTTCAGTTTTTTGACTAAATTCTGCCAAATTGCTTTTTTTTTGTCTGCAAATAAAATATAGTCTTAGTGGTCAACATATTTTAATGTCAAGAAATCAGAATATGAGTAAATATTTGTTTTTGATGTATACCAGGATTATTAACCATATCTCCTTTAGATTTGATCAAATGATTTTTGTAGCAGAAAGGTAACAGGCTGAGCAAGCTCTGATTTCATAAAATCAGGCCACAACATTTGCACTTAAAATGAATAGGATAAAGATTTTTTTTTCTGCTAGACCTTGTTAGAGAGCCTAGGAATTCCATTCTCTAGTGTTTATTTTCCCATTCTCTGTTTTCTTATCTTGTCTCTTACTCCATTTTCATCTTTGCTCTTCAGCCTCTTGTTCTTTCTCTCATTCTCTGGTATTCTGCTGCTTTTTTCTCTTCTCTTCAGTTTGAATCACAATTATCACAATTCTTTTGTTGCCAAAAGTGTGTACTTCCCTTCTGGGTTTGAGGCGCTTACCCCAGCCAACACAGAAGGAGGAAAATCTAAAGTCTTTTTTTTTTTTTTTTTTGACAGCTTTTCCTATACCCTTACATTATATCTGATCTCTCCTCTTTCCCTGAGACCTGCATCAATTTACATTTCTCATTATAACTTTCTGTAATTTTCCACTCCTTTTGCCATTCTCATCTTCCCCCTCTGACTAATATAAATTTTCAGCACTTAAATCAAGACTTTTCTCTTCAAGGCAGTATGTGAACTTTAGTTAATCCTCAGCGCACGTTCCTTTATTACCACTGCTGTGTGAGGCGGGGAGGAGACGGAGACTTTCCGAGCTCCCAGAGGGGTCAATTTGGTGTCTGAACCAGAAGTCAGATAGGCCTCATGCTCAGTTCTTTATTAAGACCGGGAGATAAAGGCTTTCTCTCTCTCATATAATAGTTTCCTGGATTTATGCAGTGCCCTTTTCTTGAGGATCTAAAAACATCCAAACACGTTTTGCCCCTAGCCCCACAATGTCCAAGGAAATAAATGCTTGCCAATATACCTGTTTACTAAACAGAATCAGAATGGGTCAAATAGGATTGAGTCAGTGGAACTGAAACCAATGGACGTCTTCCTCTTCCTGCTTTCTTCCCTTTCTATTTGGATCTTCCAGGGAATCTGTGTGTATCACAGAACTATGCATGTGTATTTCCTGCAGTAGATGCTTGCTTCCTTGCCTTGTTGTGTGGTATGCAAATCAGTAGCTCTGGGAGATACAAATCTCACAGGCTGAATGGATTTTCTGTGGGCCAAAGGGCACTTGCACATTAATTGCAAAGCTACCCTGTGACACTTGTGAAGTAGGTTAGCAACTTGCCCAAAGTCACTTTTCTTATGAACACTGGGCCTGAGAGGAGTGTCTTGCTCTAAAAGCCTTCCTTTCACTCCACACTGGCCTCTGATTTCTCCCCACGAGTGAGTCATAGACCCTGACATGCTACCAAATTACTTGCAGTTGCAACTGGCTGCAGTAATTTGCATGGAAAGCAATGGTTAGGCTTAGTTGTTCTGATTCCACAGATGTGAGAATTTCCTCTGGTGTGTGAGTACTCAGGAGACTGGCTCCACCATCTTCAGTAGAAACAGTTATGGCTCTGCCTCTTTTATGTGGTTACAGTCCCAAAGCCCTGCACACATTGTGTAGAACAGCTGAGTAGCAATGAGGGTGATGAGCAATTTCTCCAGTCTCTCTTATAGTTCTGTATTAGTTTCCTGTGGCTGCTCTAACAAGTTACTATCAACTTGAGAAAGCTATGCTAATTCTGGGAGCCCGAAGCCCCAAATCAGTATCACTGGGCTGAAATCAAAGTGTGAGGAAAGACATAAGGCAATTCGTTTATTCGAGTCATAATGCTGGTGAATATTAGTCACAGGAATTTAATACACTCCTGGTGTTTGTTGCAGAGTTCTTTTGTAATAATTAGATAATTTTCTGGTTTGGCACTGTATTTGCTAGGCTATATCCAAGGGTTGTAATGTTAGGATATTGTTTTTGCCAGACCCAAACCCATCAGAATGCATTTACTGCATTTATACTTTTTGACCACCCAGGGAAGGAGCAGTGAAAGAAAAAAGTACTCTAGGGTATGTGTGGATTGGCTTGTTATGTAGGGCTTGGGGAAGATTTTTTCTTTATGAACAACTCTCTTGCCTCTTCTCCCTTCATGTTATATAGCTGATATTTTTAGTACACCTCAGCACTTATATCTTCTCAAAAGTGTGTTACTTTTATTTTTTAAAAAAGAAACTATCAGGGTGGTCTGTTTGGATTTTCACTGTTATTCCTCTCTGTTTGCTAAAGGCACAAACTCTTTTTTTTTTTTCCGTCTCATGGTTGATATAGTTAAAAAAATCCAAAAAACCAACAAAGACTGGATATTTGGAACATTTTGAAGTTGGCTTACAACCCTGTTGGTGAAGTCTCTTAATAGGGTATTATATGTACCCTATCAACTTCATGCAAATATAGAAAAGATTTTAGTCTATTGTCAGGTTTTTGGAGGCAAAAAACTTAAAGGAATAGGTTAGATTGAGGTTTGATAGAGTTCTAGGTATAAAGGGAGAGTCTTATAAATAATAGTCCTAGAAACTTCCTTTGATTTGAGCAAAACAGCAAAACTAAATTTAGAAACAAATCAGATTCACAGAGGCACTTTTGGCTGCTTTTCAACTCACTACTAACCTGCATGGGGATTAAGAAGCACAGACGTCAGCCATTGCTCGTATCTTTTCAGGTGTTTTTCCTTTTTCCTTTTTCCCTGGGACAGAATGTTGAACATTCCATTTTTCCTACAACAATGGAAAGCATTCCTATTAACTGGACAGGAAGTCTCACTTCCCTGTATCACTATTCTTAGTCTACTGATACAAGTCTTGTTGCTGCTTCCTCTCTAACGCCATTCCAATTTATCTGCATCTTTCCAAACCATTACCGCACTCTTGGGTTAGGCTGTCATCACATCACATCTTACCGGAAGTATCAGAACAATCTTTTAACTGTCTCTAATTTTGTCTGTTTCCACACTAATAGCCTGTGGTCTTTGTAAAACCCAAATTGCCTGATTCCTTGCCTAAAAGCTTTCAGGGCAACCCACAGTCCTCAGAATAAAATTAAAACTCCTTAACTCATTTATCTTTTCAGCCACATCTCTCATCCCTTCTTCCACCATAATATGCATTACAAAAAACTGAAATGCTTATTAACCTCCATTGAAATGCTTTCCCTCCTTTTTCAGATACTGTTTCATCATGAGGAAATCCTCTCTGTTTTCTGATTCCTTCTGCTCATTCCTGTGCCAGCATTCCACGACCTCTACTTGCAATTCAGCAACGACCCTCACTCAAGTCCCCTGCCCTGCGTGAGATTATGTTTTCTTTCTATCTGCTTCCTCAGTTTAGCGCTTATTTCACCTTGATCTTTTTTTTTTTTTTTTTTAATATGACTGCTAAGCTTCAGGACAAAGGATGTGTTTTGTTAGCCACTGTGTTCACTTAACAGGGATGCAAGGAATCTTTATTAACTGAGAGAAGAACTCTAGTCGTAAGAGTTTGTCATGAAAATGAGAATAGACAAGGAAAAGACAAAATAGAAGCTGAATGGAAGTGTCAGCTATGTTTCATATTTGCTGTCACTGAGAGGAAGCTTAATTTTCTTTTTTCTGCTTTCTTCTCCAGAGAAGCAAAAGTGTTATCAGCAGCCCTTTGCAGACTAAAGCTTCTTGTTATCTTCAACTTTCTTATATGTAGTACTCTAAATTGGTCTTAGCAAGTGGTATCTGTTATCATCAAAAACCGTTTTTTCAGCTTTAACTCATGTAAATTAACTATAATGATTTTCTTTTTAAAAGTATTTCATGGTTTCTCATTTACTGCTGTAAAAAATTTTAAAGGGACTTTTATTTTTATACTTTAACTTGCAAACTTACAAAAGACAATATTAAAACCAGTACTTCCATGTAGGACAACTCAGTGAAAATGGAACAGTGAGTGCACAGAATCTACTGTATGATGGACATACGACAAACACCATTTAGCTGCCATTAATAAGAAACTTACTTATTGAAAAAATCCAAATGCTGGCCTTACCAGAAAAATTTAACGGTGTTATTTATAACAGTTATAAAACTGAACTGTTGAAACTAACTCACTGAAAAGTTTTGACCTGCATTTACATTCACACCTAAATGAAAATGGAAGAACTGCCAATATCTGATTTCTGTCCTTTATTTTTCTTTATTCTTTTTTTAAAAAGATTTATTTATTTTACTTGAAAGTCAGAGTTACAGAGAGGCAGAGGCAAAGACAGAGGCAGAGAGAAAGAGAGAGAGAGAGAGAGAGAGAGAGAGAGATGTCTTCCATTTGCTGGTCCATTCACCAAATGGCTGCAACAACCGGAGATGGGCAGGTCAGAAGCCAGGAGTCAGGACCTTCTTCCTGGTCTCCCAGGCAAGCGCAGGGGCCCAAGGACCTGGGCCATCTTCCACTGCTTTCTCAGGCTGTAGCAGAGAGCCGGATTGGAAGTGGTGCAGCCAGGACTTTAACTGGCACCCATATGGAATGCCAGCACTTCAGGTGAAGGCTTTACCTGCTACACCACAGTGCCAGCACCATCCTCTATTTTTCACCCATAATTATATGTTTAGTTTCTTTTTGACTCTGTGTGGAAAATATCTAAATGTTCATGACTGCCAATAGCAGGAAGAAGATAATTTTTTAAACTGAAATGTTTCCTATCATAGTAGATTCTTAGACAAATTCTCCAGGTATGTGGTATGTTAGCAGGATTTTTGGCATAATTATTATGGGTTGGCGTCATCAGATGGGAGGACTTGCTTGCCTGCTCTAAAATATCCAGAGCTAAGCTCTAGAAGCACAGGTCTGTTTTGAAGTCTTGAGCAATTTCCTCACACCAGTTGCTGGAAGGGGAGTTTGGGAATCTGGAGTTCTATGGACTAGTGGTACCATCTGATTTCCCTGTGTGCCACAAAACTAGGACTGTAACAGTGAGGTTTCTTTACCCTTCCAATAGAGCATTCTCTCTTGCTAGCAGCTCATGCAGTCCATGAATTCCGTATGTTTTACCATGAGTTGATTTGCAGGCTGTAGGTGCTGTGGTATAGATGGCTTTGCACTCACCCTGAACAGGGAGAACTAGAGGCAGTGCTGATGTTTGAGGCAGATGCTGAGAGATGGCAGTGCAGCAGTAGCTTTTAACACAAGTCAGACCTTTGTGTTTCAAAAAAAGCTACACTATAGTTTAGTATTTGCAATGCTGTATTTTGTGATTGTGAACACAGCTGTGAAATGCAGTTGTCTGGGGAGAAGGTGACAATCAAACAATGTACTGGAGTTAAACGGTTCTCGTCCAGTAGTGTGGAGAATTGCTGAGCACTTTCTAAGTGTAGTCGAATGTGCTCTTGCTTGCTCTGCATAGAGATGTGTTTTATAGAGGACTAGACCCTTTTCTGACTCTATAGACCTTAAGCCAAAGTGAAGAAAGTTAAGTATTTAATTTAAAAAAAAGACGTTTCCTAAATGATTTGGTTTCATTCTGTCTCCTAATAACAAAATGCAATTTAGAGTGAATCCTCTAATTATTGAATTGGTTCTGAAAGGCTATTAATTCAAAGTAATCAGCATGGAGATAGAAACATAGATACTCAAACTTCTATCCAAACCAACTATAGATCTATTGAATAATTCTCAATTAATTCTCAATCAAAAACTTGCTATGTAAAGCACTGAGCCCCACTCCTGTCTCTCCCTTCTTTACTCTCCTCCTCTCCCTTACTTTCCTTCTGCTTTCATCCCTCCTTCAACATTTACTCAGTCTAAGTTTATATTATTTAGCCTTGCTTTCAGAGATGAATCCCAGTGAAGGATTTAATATCTATATGTAAAGAAGGAAGGCAAATAACCATTACAAAGCAGTTTGATAAATGCAATATTAGAAAAATGCTATTATGGGAAGAGCCTTCTACTCATCTGGGTCTGTTATTGTGATAAGAAGAAAGGCTTTCGATTAAGATTAAAAAAGGCTGTTCGAAGGAAGCAAGGCATATATTTTGAAATATGGGCAATATATCAGAAATATATCTAACTAGAAACTCGCAATAAAAAAGAGAGCTAAGGCAGTGTGCAAATGTGTGGAGAAACAGCAAAGACTACTCAGAATCCTGCTGGTAGTTTGGTAAACCTGAAATTAGAACTGGTATGAGAGTTAGGTGGAGATTGGTGTGGCTGTGACAGTATACAAAGTTGAAGAGATAGGCAGGGTCAGATGTGGAAATGCCTTGTACTCATCAAAATGAATTTTTGAAGACTTAGATGCATTGCTAGGCATTGGCAATACAAAAATGAATTAGAACAAAAGGACTGAAAATTTAGCAAAAGATAAAGGCATGGCAACAAATAATTACAATAAACACAGTAGTGATGTGTTTGGGTGTCATTCTGGAGATGCCTGGGAATGCCGGGAAGGCTTTAAGTGGGAGGAGAGTGTGATGCATTGCATTTTAGAATCCCTCAGCTTTAAAAAGAACAAAGTAGAAGGGTGTGAAGTAAGACACTAGATGTCATTTGGGAGATTCTGCTACATTGATGTAGAGAGAGAGGAGGAAAATATATAGTGGAGATAGGCAAGTGGAGACAGGGTTATGATTAATACAGAAGATATAATTGATAAGATGTAAGGATTGCTTGACTGTTGTGGGAGAAGCAAGTACTGGAATAGAAGGTGACTCCATTTTCTGACTTTGGAAATAAAGGCAGTAAATGTATTGTCCTTTTAATCCTATTGTACATTTGGCCAGTGCAGGGCAACTGAGAAAGAAGCTCTTGCCTCTCTCTTGTGAAGAGGATTATTTAATTGGCTTTATCAGAGTTTGGTACTTGCTGACCTTTGAGTAATAGGGATAATAGGGAGAAGTTGTTACTCTCAAAAAGCTAGAACCAGACACGGGAACTCCTCTTTCTTTGTGATTATGTGGAGAGGCCTTCCCTGTATCTTGCCTCTATCCATGTCCACAGAAAAGGCTTCTCTTCTTGGGGGATGTGCTTGTAATCCTTTTTCTCTCAGTTCCATAGGCATCTGGATGTGTAAAGCTGCTTCTTGATGCATTCAGGGCCTGCCATGCAGACACATCACCCTTTCCCTAAACACTTGATCTGATGCAAATAAGAGTACTCTTTGTTAGTCTCTAGCACCAAATCTCCCCTGATGTTGTTGTTCATCATTAGCCATTAATAAAGTGGTGTTTTTACCCTACTTGTCACTGATCTTTGCATGTGTACTGTAAAGGTAGAGGCATAGCTTCCAACTTTTAGTGAGTGATTGAATGTTATTCACTAAGGTAAAGGAATCCAGAGTTCTTTATCCCATATACATTAAAAAAATTGTGTGTGTTTTTTTCTTTTAATTTTTAATTTTTTTAAATTTTATTTAAGGTATACAAATTTCATGTATTTCGTATATACAGATTCAGCAACATAGTGATACTTCCCATATAATCCTGCCCATTCTCCCATACTGCCTCCTCCCTCCTCTCTTAATTTTTACAATGATCTATTTTCAGTTTACTTTATACTTATAAGATTAACCCTACACTACCTAAAGAGTTCAACAAATAGTGATAAGAAAAAAAACACAGTTTCTCAACAGCAGAGACAACAACTATAAACAATAATTGAAGCTCAAAATGTCAATTTTACTCCTGTATATTACATTTTTGGTATCTTTTATTTATCACAGATCAGGGAAAACATATGATATTTGTCTTTTTGTGAGTGGCTTATTTCACTAAGTATAATGGTTTCCAGTTGCATCCATTTTGTTGCAAAAGACAAGATTTCGTTTTTTTTTTTTTTTATATAGCTGAATAGTATTCTTTAGTGTATATGTACCATAAGTTCTTTATTTAGTCATCAGTTGATGGAAGTATGGGTTTATTTCATATCTTAGCTATTGTGATTTGAGCTACAATAAACATGGGGGGTACAGATAACTCTTTCATCTGCTGATTTCATTTCCCTTGGGTAAATTCCCAGGAGTGGGATGGCTGGGTCATACGGTATATCTATTTTCAGCTTTCTGAGGTATCACAATAATGTCTTCTACAATGGCTATACTAGTTTACTTTCCCACCAACAGTGGATTAGGGCACCCTTTCCCCCACATCCTCACCAGGATTTGTTTGTTGATTTCTGTATGAAAGTCATTCTTTTTTTTATAGTTAGTATTTTGTTTTAAATTAATTTTTTAAGGAATGCAAATTTCATAAGTACAACTTCAGGAATATAGTTAATCTTCCCACCATATCAGCCCTCCCATCACACTCTAACCCCCTTTCCTCCTCTCTCT